GAATTTTGAATATAGTATGTTGATCTGAAAAAAATTATGTGCGAGTGAACAATATAAAACAATATAACTTACTTATATATCTCTGTTATAACTCTGAGATATAAAACATTAGTTTAAACTCGGTTATAAAATTCATAACATATAAGTAGAAATATTCAATTATTTTAAATTATACTCTAATTTAGAAAAATTTGATAAAAATTAATGAAATGTGAAAATTGACATCTTCCAATGGTGATGTCATTTCAAATTATGGTATATTATATATTATCTAAATGATTTTTTTAGATAATAACATGAAAATCATCTAAATAATTTTTTTTATGGTATACCGTATTCAGAAATAACATATGCAAATGAGTGATAGAAAATTAATAAAAAAAAAATCTCTGATCATTTTTGGTAACCGTGTAATTCTCTCTAATTTAATTAAATATATATATGATAGAAAATGTCACATCGAAACTGATACACGCTTAGTTGTTGTTATACACAAGGATAAGGGTATTCTTGTCTTTTGATAGTCCATTCGCTCAATTGATTTGTTGGTAGGCTATATTGTTAATTAGTCTCTTTTTGGAGGCTATATGATTTGGTGAGTAATAGTTACGTATAGACACAATCGTTTTTGTATCTTATCCATAACTAACTATGAAAATTTCGTGACTAATTAGAAATTTTGAATTAAAAAAAAAATTGAAACAAAATGATTTCATAATAAACCAACTCAACCTCATTTCATGAGAACCATATATCTTGCACCATATAAATGTCTTGCAACTCAACCATATATATTTTTAAGATAACGGCGGAGATGAAAATGTTGCCATGAAATTTCAATTTCCACAGTCACCTTCTTCCTCTCAATTCACTGTAAATTCTCTAAGTTATTTTACCACGACTATAAAATTTGTTTTACGTTTCGTTTGTGTTTTCAAGATTCAGACAGAAAATGACATCGTTTATTTCTAGTTCAAACGGTATGTTTTGTCTTCCACTAGTGATTTAACTGCGTTAATTTTAGGGTTTAATTTGCATTAAATCGAAAACTTGAGTATTACTTGTCACTGCGTTTTCTGCTTTCTTTACGTGAAACTTGGTTTTTCGTTTTACAATTTTTCCAGTGTGTTTGATTTGGTTAGTTCTTACATATGATGTGCCAAGAGTAGCAAAAAAGGTTTATAATATTTTAATATGTCGATGTATCTTAATATCTTTATATGCATCTTAATATCTTAGATTTGGAGTTCGATAATCACACACTAATTTCTTTGATTTGGTTAGTTCTTAAGATAGGATGTACCAATTCAGATTTTATGTTAAGAACACTGACTATGTGGTGAAAAATTACAACTTTTGATGTATTTTTAAACAGATTAGATAAATGGAATGATTAGAATGATATTATGAGGATTTTTAAGCTTTGAACCGACAAATTTTGCATATCAAATATCTAAATGAATCATGCTTTCTGAATAAATATTATTTACGGTCAAAGTAGTCGGCAGCTATATATATACTAGTAAACCATATAATCTATGAGCATTAGTTGTTTGTGACTTTTTCCATCGATTTTTTCTTTTTTATCAAAAACATGAAATATAATCTTAATATGCATGTCCATGTTCGTAAACATATGTATTATTGTTTTCTAGCTAGGTTTGGAATTCTATAATCAAACAATAATTTATTCTATGGGTTTAGATAGTTCTTACACATATATGACCTGCTAATTCAGTTATTGAGATGTTGTTTTAAGAACACTGACTTTGTCGGTGACAGATTACAAGTTTTAATATATTTCTAAACAGAGTATTGGAATGAATAAGAGATGATGTTTTTTTTTTAACTTTTAAGAACACTAACTGTGTCGGTGAGATTACAAGTTTGAATATATATTTTAAACAGAATATATTATATATAAAATGATCAGTAGGAGGAGAGGTTATAGGAGTTTTAAGCTTTTAACCGACACAAATTTGCAAATCAAATATCTAAATGAATCATGCTTTCTGAGTAAATATGATTTATGGTCCAAGTATTCGGAAAGTATATATATTTCTATTATATAACAATCCATAGGATTACAAAGTTGTGACCCAACGACACAAAAGCACATCTCCATCAATTATCAAACCCATTAGAACTCATATCTCTCTTTCCTTTTCACTTCCAACAGCTATATATATATATGGTAATGCCCCTTACCTCCATTTACTCATCACCAATCCATCTAAGATATTATAACTCTCTCTTTCAAAATCACTAAAATGAAGTCTTCTTGCAGTACAAGATTCGCGTTCTTGATTCTCTTTCTCTTTGCGGCACAATCTGTGGGTGTCTATGCCGGTAGCTTCCACAAAGACGTTCAGGTACATTGGGGTGATGGCCGTGGAAAGATACTCGACAGTGTCGGGAATCTTCTTTCTCTCTCGCTCGACAAATTCTCAGGATCCGGTTTCCAGTCCAATCAGGAGTTACTCTTTGGAAAAGTTGAGGTTCAAATGAAACTTATCCCTGGTAACTCTGCTGGAACGGTCACAACATTCTATGTAGGTGATATGTAATTTTAAAGCGTTCTTGTTATCTTTTGATATTCACTAGTTTTCGTATATTAATTCAAACAACTTGCTTACATGATGACATTGTGTAGCTTAAATCTCCGGGAACTACTTGGGATGAGATCGATTTCGAGTTCTTGGGAAACATAAGTGGTCATCCGTATACTCTCCACACCAATGTATACAACAAAGGCAATGGAGACAAAGAACAACAATTTCATCTATGGTTTGACCCAACCGCTGACTTTCACACTTATTCCATCACATGGAACCCCCAAAGGATTATGTAAGTATCCTCAAAATAATCTTATTTATTTTTGAGGATATAAGCTCATGAACTAAGATATTCTTTTCTCTTTTTTTTTTTTCCTTCTAGATTTACGGTCGATGGAATTCCGATTAGAGAGTTCATGAACTCCCAGCCAACTGGAGTCTCGTTCCTACATCAGCAACCAATGAGAGTCTACGCGAGCCTTTGGGAAGCCGAGCATTGGGCAACAAGAGGAGGATTAGAGAAAACAGATTGGTCAAAAGCTCCTTTCACCGCTTTCTACAGAAACTACAATGTGGACGGATGTGTATGGGCTAATGGAAAATCAACTTGCTCCGCGAATTCCCCATGGTTCACACAAGTACTTGATAACAAAGGCAAGAACAGAGTGAAATGGGCACAGAGAAACCACATGGTCTACAACTATTGCGCCGATAAGAAAAGGTTTCCTCAAGGTGCTCCTCAAGAGTGCGGTTAAATTAAGATGTTTGATCATGAATAAGTTATGTGGCATTGTCTTTGAAACTCCACAAGTTTTTATCTATTATTTTCACTAGATGAGCATCCACATTACGCGTGGATTACTTTTCATTACTAGTAAGTGTTTTCCTATTTCTGTTATTTTAAATATGATTTTTGTGTGTTTGATTTGCAATCGAGTTAAGAAGATACTTGTTTTGTGAATTTTCGTTATTTTTCATATAGCATATAAAATATTAAAAATTAATTGGCTTCACTTACATTATAGTTAAAATTTTAACATTTATAGATCAGGTTCATTAATAAATCTACAAGAATGCTTTAGAAGAACATAAACTATACGCTTACTAATATGAAGAAGAACTGATCCAATTGATATGAAGTTACTTCAAAACTCTTAGAACACTGTATATAGTCTCTTGTTGCTGCGATTAAAATTGAATAGCTTTGATAATAGATGTCAGATTAAATCTCTAAAAGAGGACCTAAAGAATATCTACATACTTGAAGGTCATTCTATTCGGGAAGAAAAAAATTTGTTTCTGTTTTTTTTTGTTTTTTCCAACCCTTAAATCATTAATTAAGTTTTCAAAGTACAAACAAGAAGGAATTAAACATCTTTTTAACTTAC